CATGTTCGCATACGAACGAACGAACGAGCGCTCGTTGACCGCTCTGCTGAGGACGGGTTTCGATGTGGCCCGACACCAGCTACAACTTAAGCATATGCGTACCAGAATCCGTGGGGGTTGAAAAAATTACGGACAGACGGACGCACATCCAAATCGATTATTTCATAGAAAACCATGGTCAAACTGCCAATGCCCATAACTTTGTGATAATGTTCAAGATATCTTAATTTTGGTTTTTTTCTACGAAAAAAATCCATTGTACCAAAAATCTGAACCATTCTTCCCTGTGTGTAATAATGGTTGAAAGAATGTATGTTCATTTTTGGCGGGTCGACCCGGTTTCTTACGGTTTCCGCGTATCTGATAAGAGATAGCAACTAGGTGTCGGCAAAGTTGTAGTACTCGCTTTTTTCGCGAAACTGATAAGAGATAAATGATAATTGTATGTAGCAAAGTTGTAAAGGATCTCAAGCACTATAATTTTGCCGAAGACGCCAAGTCGTTATCTCTAATCAGTTCAGTGAGAAAACCGTAAAAAACCGCGACGACCCCCCAAAAATGAACATACATTATTTCAACCATTGTTAGTTGCATTTCTCTTTTTTGCTACGAAGTTGGACAATCTTGCGTTCTTCTAGGTATCACCAATTTATATCTACTATATACCCAATTAGTTTTTAAGGCATTCAAATGCACGCAAGCGTCAATTACTTGACCATACTTCGCTATTATTTATTAATATTATTAATGGCATTATTGAACATTATTGAGAATTCCAAAGGATTATTTGGGATTATTTTTGCATTAGATTGCATTATTTGAAACGTCCAACCATAATATTTGTCATAAATGATTATGACGGGTGACACCAATTTGCGCCTAGCCTTATAGACTTTAAATGGTGTATGAAGTGTGGATTGAGTGCGAATCTCGACTTCCAGCTTATGTACACCATTAACATGGCTGTACACCTGGTGTAGTTTTTTCATGGGTACATTTTCCCAAAACACTAGTTGAACTATGACCACAGTTGACTCAAAAAAGCTTTAGATATTCACACCGATAGATTTTTGTGCATTTATTCTCAAAATAAAAAAATAAATTGAAAATATCGGAATTTTATATCCGTTTCTAATTAGTCTAGCAACGGCTGTCAGAACAAACAACTTTCTTCGAAACATGATTCGGATTGTTTAAAATTGATTATGATAATCTTGGTTAATCGATAGAATAAAAAATCGTTAAACGGCATATTTCAAGGAGTTGATTAAAATAGAATAAGGTTAACCCTTAAATGGACTTGGACATTTCAACGCACCTATTACAATAAATAGAACAAATAGGATATATTCTATTTGCTTATAGAATAACACAATAAGCATCGGTTCTTTTACAATTTAAACTTTTGTTGGGAGAAACTGATTTTTTTCAAGATTCTTTCATAGAAATTTCGTTCTAATAGTTGATGGATTTATTTTGTTAAACATTTATTATTTCTTACGATTTTTTTATTTTATTTTATTTTTCACGCATTGTACTCGAACATCTAATTGCACCTGAATATTTCGATGATTTTACTGTGATGAAATTGGTGAGTTATTTTTATGAGCTTATAAGGAACCTTAGATTGGCCAAACTATAGATCGTTTTGTTTATTCATTTTATAGTTTGGAAACATTGTAAATCAAATCAATCTTAAGACTGACTAAGTTTAAAATTGTAGACGTACTGAAAAATTCAGAACAAAACTTTTCATTTGATGATGATATAGTTGCCAACTGATATTTTGAATTTCATATTATTTCATACGATTTACTTTATTTCTCTTCGTTTCGGTTGATCATGCCATATTAATATGTGCAAATATTTGGGAAAAAATCGGGAATATTGCCACGCCAAATGGAAATCTCGTGTCTGACTCATAAAAACATGCAATATTGGAAAAGAACATTCGACAGACTGACCTCCTCAATAAAAACTGACAGGAATTTTCCCAGAAACGTTCCATTGAGATCGACTTTTCACTCGGGTAAGAATCAGTAAAAAACATAAAATCAACTGTTAGTGTATGAATTTCAGTTGGAATTAGTATTTTAAATAAATGATATCGTTTGATGAATGATAACAATTGATACTATTTGCATTCAATCTATTTAATTTTTTTATTTCAAGTTCAACCAAGGCTAAGAAATCACGCACTGGACTACTCAGGAAACGGTGGTGGTGCAGCTGAATCACCTCATACTGGACGCACGAGTTTCTTTTCTAAAATTTCATCCCGGTTCAGTAAACGGTAAGATTCATTTTATTTATATGTGCGCGTTTTTTGTATATTATTTTTCAAAACTGCAAAAAAAAACTATACAAAAAGTAGAGTCAATATTCTGGTACAATACAAACACGATTATTTTTCGCTTATGATTTGCGGTAATGTCATATCCATAAATTCAGTTGTCGTTCTTATTTAATTTATACTTGTGTGGTTGAGTTGAGTAGAAGACAGAAAGAAAGTTGTATCTGTCTCTCGGCACAGAGAAAACGGTTTTGCTGTATGTCAGTTCTATCGCAACATCCTGCAAATAAACTTAACTGAACGTTATTGATTTTCTTGTTCTTGCTTTAGTATGAGGGGAAGTGAAAAACATTATGAACATTCTGATGATTTTTTAAAATTTTATATGAAAAATCCAAATTCACTTTGACATACTTCTAAAATATAGTCTTGAATACAAAGAAAATACGCTCATTTTTAATGTGAATTTCTATAGTTGGATAGAAGATTCAAAGCGGTCTTCATCAAAATTGATTTCTCGGTGAGATATTCAAAGGAAAAAAATGTTAAATACAAAAACGTCTAAAATTAAAACAAAATCGTCTAAAAATATAATAATTTCATCTAAAGGAAATGGTCCCTTTTTTAACAAATTCGTCTAAAATATTTTTTTAAAATGACAAAATCATCTAAAAATGTGACAATTTTTTTCTTAACAAAATCGGGTTTTAAAATAACAAAATCGTCTAAATACGCTGATGATTTTGTCATTTTTTCGAGAAAATGTGTGTTTAGGCGATTTCGTCATTTCAAATAAACATTTTGTCCATAGATGTTTTTGGAGTCTTTTAGACGATATTGTCATTTTTCCAGAAAACTCGTATTTAGACGATTTTGTTATTTTAAAACCCGATTTTGTTAAGAAAAAAATTGTCACATTTTTAGATGATTTTGTCATTTGAAAAAAATTATTTTAGACGAATTTGTCAAAAAAGGGACCATTTCTTTAGACGAAATTGTTTTTTTTTTTTGAACGATTCTGTTTTATTTTTAGACGTTTTTGTAAGCAGCCAATAAAAAACAGGCGTTTTAAATAATGTTATCCATTATATAATATGTTTATAAATTAAATATTTTTCAAAACCACTTAAGTCTTCCTTGTTTAAAAATTCATATATTTGTTTCAGTGTGTCAAAGTAACCTTGTTACTAAAACTAGTTATAATAAAATAGATGGACAGATAAAAATTTACGTCGACGAACCAAAAAATATTATTTCATTTTAATTGTTTCAAATCAAATTCAAATTTGAACGTTTTCGGATATATTAAAAGCAGTTGATTAATACATGTAAAATATTCTATAATAGCGAAAGATTAAAACATCTACAATAACAAAATTGATGAAAACAAATAAATTGAGTCAGGAATCATGATAAAGTGTGAATTTTGCAAAGGCATGTAGGTATGATTTATGCAAAAAAAGCTCAGCAACATTTTGAATTAATAGCATTTCTGAAGCAATTTCAATTATATGGCATCGCGCTGCTCCTTCTCAAGACATACCAGTTATCGAAGTAGCCCATTTTGTCGATATAATAAATTGAGATTGAGAGTAGTGAGTAGAGTTGGTATAAAAGAGGAAAGTAAAGAACTTGTTGGAAACTTTGCCCTAAGATTGCGTTCCTAACTTCTTTCAATGTATTTCTTATGGTTATTTGGGGTGCGTTCATCTACCGATTGTACTGATTTGACATTTAGGGCATAAATTTGATCGAATTTCCAACAAGTTTTTTTTGTTGTTGGTTTGTCGCGTGTTTCTGCGTAACTCATAATCAGACGTGGGCAGGGTCGAAATCCTTAAATGGAGTTAAAAATATTATGCAGATGGGAAATTATCTAAATGAGGGTGAAAATTGAGTGCAAAAAAGAAGACCTAAAAAATGGTTCCCACTTTTGAAAATCAATTCCATTCTGTGTAAACTAGTCAATATCGCTAGAAGTGTCTTCAATTTTCAAATCCTAGATGAAGAGTAAAACCAAAATATCTCCTGCACACCAAAATATCAGTCTGCTGATAATGAAAGAAAGATAAAAGCTTTCAACAAAGCTATAGAGCACTTGACGTTCTACAACTTTGCCGAAAACCATTCTCTATCTCTTATCAATTTTGTAAAAGTGTGAAAAACCTTAACAAACTGCGGAATCAACAGAAAACATACTCGATTTTCCAAAAATGTAAATTGAAGAAAAAACCTACTCTCACTTGCGCACTTTCTTCACTGATGCCATATGGCATCGTCACATAGGATTTGATGTTTATGTTAACTCTCATATGGAGGATCAATTCAGTTTTGAAATTGTTGGAAGTCATACACTTTTGTTTGGTATATATGAGTAGTTTGGAGCGAAAATGTAATACAGAAAAGTTGCGCGGAAAAATGTCGATGATGAATGAGCGGAAAAGGGATAGCTATATAGTATACTGTAGAGCGGTCCAAAAAAAAAGTTGTCCCTCATCCGGAATGTCCAGCCAGTTTCGAAAAATATACCTCAAAAAATAGGTTTTGTCCAAAAAAACGATATGGGTACCATATAAAATCAGGAGGCAAGCCCAGCGCCTGTCCGAGCGCTCATGGCACCCCGGTGCAAATCGTAACATGCGCCCCTGAAACGTTATGACTCAAAATTTTTGCGAAACGAAAAATTTGTTATCAGGAAAATTCTGTACACGATCTTCCATGCCTTTATACCATAATAAGAATATACGTCTGGGAGCATTGAAAAGAAAATATAATTCATTTACGCGAGCGCGCCGAAGGTGCGCGAGCGCAAAATTTTCGATCTGTTCAATCTACAAAAATATAGCGCATTTATTCAACTTTTTTCTCTCCGAGATTCACATTAAATGGACGCAGGGCGCTCAAAATAAATAAATACATTTTGTATTCAGTTTAGGAAACGCCCGAATTTGTGAAAAAGGCGCTTGAAATAAAAGCGACATCTGAATATAGTCAATAGTCAAGTAAAAGCTCACAAAAACTTAAACATTGGACACCATTTTCTTCCCTTTTGATTAATTTTGACTTTACTGCGCACTTTGCACACATAATTTGCCTTGCACCGTCTACTTTTCTACGTCCGAGCGCTTTTCATAGCAAACTCGACAAATTTCCAACTCCGAGCGCCCAAGAAAATCACTGGTGGACCAAATCGAGTGATGTTTTCAAATATTTCTGGCCTCATATTCGATTCTTTTCGAGGTTTGCTTTTATCTGTCAAATCGAAGCTCATGTTTGTGATTTGCTCATTTTGGCCTGAAATTTGTCTTATATGTGTGAATCAATTGTCGCCGAATTCCATCCAAATCGCAATCTGACAAGTACCAAAATTTTTATACAGGTTTTGGCTACACGACACAAGTCCAAAACTGAACAAAAGTCCACCACCTGGGTGGCCAGTAGGGCGAAAAATGCAAAAAATGCCGAAAAATTGCCATTTTTCCGGTCATTTTACACTGTAACTGGCCCAGAATGCCTTTTCAAGGGCTGATATCTTGGCAAAAGTTGTAGATATTGACGAGCCAAACAAAACCCTATCAACACTTTTTGTCGAACTTTGGTTGGAATAATGAAATTAGTCGAAATGTTGCGATCCAAAATGGCTTCCGAAATCGCTGTCATGAAAAATTTCATATGGGGCTTGCCTCCTGATTTTATATGGTACCCATATCGTTTTTTTGGACAAAACCTTTTTTTTGAGATATATTTTTCGAAACTGGCTGGACATTCCGGATGAGGGCCATTTTTTTTTTTGCACCGCTCTAGTATACTGTATAGTAAGTAGAACTATTTAGCTATCTCTTTTCATTTGACATTTTTCCGCTCAACTTTTCTGTATTACATTTTCGCTCCAAATAGAGCTGCCCATGAACTGAACACAAACAGTTCAGTTCGAATTTGTTTTGTAAAGTACCTGATACCTTTTCGTGCTTTTTAACAGATGTACTAAATTGAATGTTTTCAATGTCGCCATCTGTTGTTGG